ATAATTTTACTGTCGTTAGCATACAGTTTTATATGACGATTTATGCTGTCCGGTATATCGTTAATGAAGATTACGAAGAGCAATAGGCTCAAGACCGAGTCTTGAGGCACGCCACTAGTGACATCTTGCTATTCAGATGTGATGCCGTTGATGACCACTCGTTGACTTCGGTCGCGTAATCAAGCTGAGATCCAGCTTAAGAGCGTACCTTGAGTACCGTAGGCTTATAATTTATGAAGAAGGCGGGGACTACGCCAGTCGCGAACGAGCACTTATAGATAAGCGAAAGAGGTTTGGCAAAGATAGCGGCACATTTACTAAGGACCCGTGGGTGTAAACCGTCGTAGCTGGTTGATTTTCTTTCATCAAGGTGGTCGATACTATATACTATATCGATAAAAGAACTTGCTGGTTCGACGACACAAATTGCTTCAGTACGACTTTCAAAAGCTAGCATTGGACCTTTATGCTCCAAAACAATCAACGACCCTTATTCACATGAACGACCCCTATTCACATAGTTTTCTCAGGGGTGTATTATAACTAGTTATAAGGGTGCATTATAAGGCAAGTCCAGAACCAGAAAGTCAAGGTGAATATGTAATCAAAGAAGTTCAAATCAAGAACCAGTCGAAAATACTGCATGAAAGTAGTGAAAGTTATAAATCGGTTTGTTTAGCATTTGAACAGTAACCCAGTATGACTGGTTGTGCTGATAAGGAACAGTAAAAAGCAATCTTAAATAAATCTATGTATTGGTTACCTGTTCTTTGGCAGACAGTGTATCTGGTAAAATTTTTAGTTGAGCGTGGACACGAAGAGAAATTTGGTTCACAATACGCAATGGTAACTTTAAAGACATCTTCGAGCTATTAGCTCTGACCATGCTACTGACCATGCAATAGTTGAATTAGTTAAGCATATATCAAATGGATTTAATAGTGATTGCTATACAATAGGGTTTTTTATTGATTTATCCAAAGCTTTTGACACAGTAAATCATGAAATTCTTTTGAAAAAATTAGAAAACTATGGTGTTAAAAATCAAAGTTTACTTTGGCTTAAATCATACCTAACTAACAGAAAGCAATTTATACTTAAAGAATCAAAAGACTCAAAAAACAACTTAATAACTTGTGGAGTACCCCAAGGTTCTATTTTGGGACCATTATTGTTCTTACTTTATATAAATGATTTATATTTATCATCAAAAGTATTAAATACTATCTTATTTGCAGATGACACTAATTTGTTTTATTCTCACAAAGATATTACTGTTCTTTTTAAAATATTTAATGAAGAATTAGACAAGATCAACGAGTGGTTTATAAGTAACCGACAATCATTAGAGAAAACAAAATTTATCCTATTCCATAAACCTAGTAAAGCCGAGAATATTCCTCTTAAACTACCCAATTTTTTAATCAATAATAAAATAATTAAAAGGGAATTGACTACAAACTTTCTGGGAGTGCTCTTAGATGAAAAATTGTCATGGAAATTTCATATTAAATATATTGAAGGTAAGATCTCAAAAAATATTGCAATGTTATACCGAACGAAACCTTTTCTTAATAACGAGTCTTTAAAAAATTTATATTTTTCGTTTATACACAGCTATCTTTCATACTGCAACATTTCCTGGGGTAGCACTAATCACACTAAACTCAAAAAAATTTATAGTAAACAAAAACATGCTTGCAGGATAGTATTTGGGGCAAATAGAAAAACACAATGCGAACCTCTCTTACGTCAGCTTGGAGCTTTAAATATTTATAAGCTTAATATTCATCAAGTAATGATATTTATGTTTAAAGCAAAACTTGGGTTTTCTCCAGTAACATTTCAATCCTACTTTAATGAAATCTCCCATAAATATCCAACCAAATTTTCAGTGAATAACTTTGTGGTTCCCATAAACTTTCTTAAATTAAGTTCGTACCAAATTCAATTTCGGGGGCCTTTAGTTTGGAAAGAATTTCTTCCAATCTTTAGTAAAGAACAAAATTTCGTTTTAAACTGCACTTTGCAAAGTTTTAAGGATGATTCAAAACGGCATTTACTTAACATGGAATTCAATATACTAGATTTCAAATACCTTTTTTGAAAACAACTTAAAGGTTTAAACTAAATCACTTAAAAATAAATTAAATCTTTAACACTTTCTTTAGCTTTTATTAAAATGGTTTCAAACCATTAGTATAAAAGATAACGAAAATAAAATTGTCTTTTTCGTTTGATGATATTAAATAATCAGCCCAAATACTTATGTTTACATATATTGCTTTTTTTTTTTTTTTTTTTTTTTTTTAATTAAACAACACATTTTTTTGTGTGTTTTTATAACTTTCATGACTTTTTGTCGTTTTTACTTTTTTATTTTTAAAATTATTCTGCTTGAAGATTGTTAGCAACAAATTATTTTATTGCTGAAGTTTTTGATTTGTTTTTATACTGTCTTTTTGTCTTTTATCATTTATTGTGCATGTAAATTTTTGTGTGACGGGGCTCGGTAATAAGACATTCTTCTTGCTCCGGCCAGGATTTTCTTTTATTGTAATTTCTTTTTTGTAATATTTATCAACGGCAAATTAAATAAATAATAAAAAAAAAAAAATAATAAAATAATAAATTTATATATATATATATATATATATATATATATATACACGTTTATAATATATATATATATATATATATACACGTTTATAATATATTTATATACACATTTTTAATATATATATATTTATAATACATACGTGTATATATATATATTATAAATATATATATATTAAAAGTGTGTATATATATATATATATATATATATATATATATATATATATATATATATATATATATATATATATATATACATATATACACACACGTTTATAATATATATATATATATATATATATATATATATATATATATATATATATATATATATATATATATATATATATATATATATATATATATATATATATATATATATATATATATATATATACACTTTTAATATATATATATTTATAATACATACGTGTATATATATATATTTATATATATATATATATATATATATATATATATATATATATATATAATATATATATATATATATATATATATATATATATATATATATATATATATAAGTATTTTTAAGAAAAACATATTCTTTAATCTGATTATGTTTTATAGTTGGATTGGATCTGTTCCGATAAATAATTATATAAACCGTTGCATAGAATAGTTAAAAATAATATACTTCAGTATAATTATCGATGTGTTTGATGACGTCATAGTGTGTTGGTGATGATAATATAAATCGAATAGATTAAAAAAAATAATAATTGAATTGAACATTTCTTGCATTAAAATTGTAGAAAATAAAATCAGAGTGGGGTTCTTGAATTCTTGTTGATATTTAGCTCTTGTTCTAATATAGTTTTTTTTTTTTAAGTATATATTGTGTTTGCATCTTTATCATACAAGCGATCATAGGTGGTATCACCGAATCCCAATCCAGCCCAACGATTGCCAAGCAGTTATAGTTGGGTGTTCCTACGCCAGAGGTTATGATGCACTATTCTTTATTTATTTATTTTATTTTTTTTTTAATATACATAGACTGCAAGCACACACACACCCATACTAACAGCACATATACACCCATACACCCATATATATACCAATATACATACATAAATACATACATACACAGATACACATACGCATTTATACATAATTTATTGATTTTATTTTATTTTTTTATTTTTTTTATTTCTTTTTTAGTTGCATACTACCTTTTCAGAAGATATGATTTACAAAATTCTGGTATATAAAATATAGAACTTAAGATATTAAAAGAGAAATATTAACAGACAAAAAACATTTCTTGTCCGTTTGCATTATATTTATAAATTATATATAATTTGTGCAAAACAAATTTAAAGTTATCCCAGTTGATTGTATGTTATTTATAATAAAGTTAATATTTTATAATTTGTTAATAGATCAAACTTTGGTAATATATTAATTTTTCAATAAGAATTTAGATTTTTAGACTTAATTACACAATGTTCAAAATTTGTATTAAATTTTGTAAAGAAAAAAAAGATTTGTAAAAAAATTTTGTAAAAAAAAAAAAAATTGTATTAAATTTTGTAAAGATTGTTGCCAAGCATTTCCTTGATAAAAATAAGTTAACGGTATACTGACTTGTCAAGTTTGATCAAGATGAATCAGGGGATAAATGAATTAGATGCAATTGTCTTATGGAAATAGATACTAAAAAGAACATATGCTGTTTTAAAAAAATACTTCTATTATAACAGCGGAAAAAGCCAAGAACAGATGGTTAAAAAGTTAAACTATTTTTAAGTACACATTAAAGGATTGATTAAAATTCATTAAAAAACAACAATAATTTTAATTTTTTAAAACAAATGTCGCCCAAGTGCTAAAACCCAGGCTTCAATAACCGCAATTTTTTGCAAAACATTCTTATCTGATTAGAAACTTGTTTTATCGTTAATATGATTGGGTGCTAATATGGCGATGAGGTGTTTAAGACCGAAAATTTAAATATAATTAACTAAAAATGCAAAAAAACTTTGTTCAATACATTTAAAAAAATAATTTCAAAAGTTTAAAAAATATAACAAAAATAATCAGATTAAAACACTTTTAGAGAAAAAATTACTATATGAGCAAAAACATTCATTTCAATAAGTTGTTTGTATCCTGAAGAAAGATGGGTAAAAATAACTAAATTGTGAGATACTTTTAAATGTGGTCAACTTTAGCACATTTAAATCTCCACACAAAACGTAATATTATAGATTATAGATATATATTATTTAGCATAAAAAGTTAATTTTTGTGGTTTTTATGAATAATCAATCAATATGTATGCGTCAGTAAAAAATTTTACATTTCGGCATATATGCCTTAAATCAAAAGATAAAAAAAGAACTTTTTATCAATATTTCTAGTTAATATCTTTTTTATTAGGTAATCTATGGACTAAAAATTTAGATTTTTCTCTTCAGCATTCCATTATCTTTTTTCAGCTTCACTACCATCATTGTCGATATTTAATCCTATAAAATTTAGAAAATATGTTAAAAAAAGAAACAATAATACTCCAAAAAAAAAGAAACAATCAATTCCAAAAATATTTTCTATTTTAAATCAAATAATTCACATAAAAATAATAAAGAAATGTTAATGCCTTACCAAGTGACAAATATAACTCTGTTTGTGAAGATATAAACGCTTGAAAGCCCTAAAAAATTAATAAAAAGCACAGCTAATATCATGTTACAGGATTTTGCAAAGTTATAAGTGCACGCTTGCAAAGTTATAAGTGCACGCTTGCGAAGTTATAACTGCATATATATTTTTCACCAAGTGACAAATAGAACCAGGGTGTCTGCCAAAATCTTAAGGTGGATTTCCCTCACAAACAGAGTTCTATTTTTCACCAAGTGACAAATAGAACTCTGATTGTGAAGATATAAACGCTTGAAAGCCAAAAATTTAACACAAGCACAACTTTTATTTATAATTAATTAACATAATTATAAACAATTTACTTATTAATTTAATTGTTATTATATGTAATGATATGTTTATATCAAAATAATATTTTGCAAGAAAATTTCTTGAACGTTTTTGTATTTGTTTGCCAACAATACTTATGCTAAACTAATTTTGATAATCAGTGCTAATTTTATCATACAAACTGTAAAAATATAATTTATGCTATAACTATCATCCAAACTTTGTTACAATATTATTTTATTTTTTGTATGTAAAAATATTATTACTGTATTTTATAATTACGTTATTTATACAAGAAAAATGTTATAAAAAAAGAAAAAAAGAATTTTTAAAACAAAAAAATAATAGTTATTAGTAAAAGTTAAAAATAAAGGTTAAAAATTAAATTTATTTGGAATAATGTTATAAAATTAAAAGTTACATCAAAATGAAATATTTTATGAAATATTTTAATAAAAACCATTTACCATAATATTTTATTTGAAATCCAAAATAATTGGATTTTTATTTTTTAGATACAAATTGAACAATGTCTTCTTTATTATTTTCCTTTTCAATTTTCATAACAGTTTCACCTTTCTCTTTTATAATATCTTCTATATTTCTATAATTAGAATTAAAAAAAAAAATAAAATATATGTTTTTCATAAAATGTTTTAGTATCACTTTCAAGAATCCTCTTTCATTAAATATATTGTAGTTTTACTAAAAACAATCAAAGTAAGACAATGTATATTACCGTTTTTAATTAACTAACCTTTTTTGGTCATAAAACCATCCAAGATTATCGGCTATCAGATGAAGATTACTGCAACCATCACATTTTATAAGAACGACACCAGTGTCATATGCTTGCTTATTAATTATTTTTGTTGAACGAGTGTTACATACTTTGCAAGTGTAAGACAAACTCAACTTTCCTTTAAGCTGTCCAATAGGTTGACCAAAAGATTTCAGTTCTGACAAATCTCGTTTACTTGTAAAAATTTGTTTTATTTTTGGAGGTGTAGAATTTTTAAATAAATTTCTAACATAAAAAAAATTACGTACTTGATTTTGTTGATATTTAAACTGTCCAAAATTATAAAAAGAACCCACACATTTTTTGGATGCAACACAAAGTTCACTAACTAAGGGCTTGATGAACATTATTAATTGAAATTGTAAGTTATGAAGAAAAAGCTAAATTAAGAAAAAATCTACATTAAGTCAAATTACTACTAATGCATTCTATTTTCATTTTTTAAATTCACACAGTAAAAAAAGTTGAAAAAAACAAAGCTTCCTACAGATGATATCTTCTTTTTACAGATGACATCAAAAAGCGTTAGTTAAAGAAAGAAGCTTAAGGTATGTTGGGGGAAAGATGACATCAAAAAGCCTTAGTTAAAGAAAGAAGCTTAAGGCATGTTGGGGAAAGATGACATCAAAAAGCCTTAGTTAAAGAAAGAAGCTTAAGGTATGTTGGGGAAAGATGACATCAAAAAGCCTTAGTTAAAGAAATAAACTTAAGGTATGTTGGGAAAAGATAACATCAAAAAGCCTTAGTTAAAGAAAGAAGCTTAATGTATATTGGGGAAACAGTGTTATGAGAACAATCCAACCTGTGCAAGCACAAAAACAGCAACATTAAAATCATCTAGTTAAGTTATTTCTAACACTTTATTTAAAATGGAATAGCAAAAAATAAAAAATGATATAAACTCAATATATTAAAAAGAATAGAAAAAAAAGCCAACAAAATATATCAATACTATATAAATAAAATTAGAAAATAATGAATCAAAAAAGTTATTCAAAACAATTAAAGAAATAAAACAAGAAGTTGCAAAAGAAATTTAAAACATTTATTTTGCAACTTCCAACTTAATTTATTTTAAATTTCTAATGTTCTGCTTAATGGTAATCCGTATTTTGCCATGCAAAATCATTTTCTCTTTTAATTTAGTAAATGAGATTTAAAAAATTTTTTAGGCATCTCACAAAAAACAACACATTTTCACATTTTACACAAATTCAAACAGGGTTTGTGCTGTTCCTCTTATTTTAGAAAATCCTAAACAAATAATATATATATATATATATATATATATATATATATATATATATATATATATATATATATATATATATATATATATATATATAATAAATATATAAATAAATCTTAAAAATATATGTATATATAAAAGAAATCCTAAATAAAAAACTGTTAAGTAGGCAATAAAAAAATTAAACTTATGTTTAGTTTTTCGATAAGTCAAACATTTTGATATTTTAATAATTTTTTTAAAATGGTTGCGAGCTTCGGCAAAACTCTAATTTTCATGAATTAAGGATAAATTTTGTTGTAAATATTTTATTGTTTTTTTTGTATTTAAAACAACAAAATATTCACAACAAGATCAACAATGGAATAACGTTGATAAAGTTGCATAAAAATGCATAAGTATATAACATGCTTATGCATGTTATATACTTATGCAGATTATTTTAAACTCATTTTCTTAAAACTTTTTTTTATTTCTGTAAGAAATTTTTTTTTTAAAAGCAATAAGATTAAGTGGATCCTACTATTGGTGATAAGAAAAATAGAATAACAAAACCTACACTACTACTCCACCTTATAACTCTTCAGAATATCTTGTTAATATAATAACTCCAAATTAAAATAAAACAAGATAAACTAAATTCTTCTTTACTTTGTCAACAACTTTAGCAATTTGACAATAACATGTACTTATTAAACTATCAAATTAAAACTTTTTACAAACTTTTGGTTATTTATAGCATCTGATCAATGGAAATAAATATAAATCAAAAGATTTCTAAGTAACATTTTCAGAAAAAATGTTGCTTTAAACATCCTTATAGTGTGATCTAACTACTTGTTACATATTAGATGTAACAATATTACTAATAAAATGTCGAACTAATTTCTGATCCTCTGGTCTGATACTGTATATTGTGTAACTCAAAGTTGTGCATATTTGGGGGCATTTTTGTTTCTTCGTAGATAACTCCTCTGACAACCTTAATTCATAAAACTAAAAATCTAAATAAAGAAAATTATTTTGCACTTGACACAAGGTTGACAATTTTTACGCTAACTAAAGGGGTAAACAGATTCTATGTTGACTAACTTCACACCCCTTCTTCATCTATTAGGCTTATGTGGAAGTATTTATAACACATTGTTTTCAGTTTAGGATTTTGAATGCTGGATCTTTTTAACTTAATGCATGGGTTTTGCTTGTGTCTCTGTTTTTGACTAGACAACTCATTTTATCATCTCCTGAGGATACAACTCTAAAACGCAGTTTTACAGTTCTGAGGCCAGCTGGTAGTCAGGTTTCTTAAACCTTGTGGTAACTCTCAGAGTTATTTTTCTTTAATTGGTAAAGAAAGAAAACTCTCAGAGTTATCTTTCTTTACCAATTAAACTACTCTCCCCTTTTTTTTTTTCTCAGCCAATATCATTGCTGTTGGCAACTTCTAGTGTTAGCAACTCTACAGGCATTAAGGCTCACAACTTTTGCCTTTTACAATCATTTTGCTATAGAGAGACTACACACCTATTTGTGTTTATAGAGTGTATGTTTATCATCATTACAATAATGAATACTGTGGATATATTTAGCTGTAATAATTGGGTATTTTTTACTGTAACCACTTGATATATATTTTGTTGTAAAACTAACTTAATTTTTTTTTTCACTGTTTTTGTTTATAGTTTTACTTATACAGAAAGGTAGTCAAAACATTGTTTTTGTTCAATATTGCAACATTCATAAAAATTGAGAAAATGTGGGGCCCCAATGCATAGCAATTATTGCACCCCCTAAGGACCCCCTCTTCCTAAGAGAATTATTAGATCTCATTGCATAAAACTATAAGTTGAATATAATTTTACATATATTTTGTTGTTTTCATGTTTGTGATGTAAAGATAATGTCATTTATTAATTTATTATACACGTGTATCAAATTTATATGCGAGTTTTACACATTAGGATCTAATAATCTAGGCGGATCTAATAATGTAATATTGTAGTAGATTTTTAGATCCAGATGAATTATCAGATCCCAATGCGTAAAACTAAAATCTTAAATTGTAATGAAATGAAACTTTTTTATAATTTTTTAAATCATTAATAAATAAATACAGCAAGTGTTCACCATCTTTTTTACATCTTTTGTGAATAGAAAATTTACAAATAAAAATAATTTGTACTTCCTTTTGTGTCATTCTTAATGTCTTAATATTATTACATCTTCGGACTCCAACGCAACACCTCTAAAGATAATAACTTGAAAGCGCATCCTCGTTTTGATTTATACCGATCTAATTATTATTAATATTTTTTTTACAACAAATTATATTATATATTTCAAAAACAAATAACATTTGCATGTTATTTGTTTTCACCCACACAAATATTTGCAATATATAAAGAGCGTTAACAAGTTACAATATATAAAGAGCGTTACTGTTTTACGCATGCGCGTTTGACATCGAGTTGAAATAATAAACTTAAAAAATCGTAGTTTATAATATAAAGTGCTGGCTATTAACCCATGCATTCAAAATATATACGCAAGTCCGTCGCACCACAGGGCTACTAGGGACTTGCTTGTCGTTGTCGTTGAAACTATATATTAATATATATTAATGGTACTATGTAGTTGTAAGGAAACTCGAAGAAGACTAAGAAAAGTCTTTTCTTCGAGAACCTTTAAAATACAAATTAAACTAAAAGTTTATTTTCTATTTTAAAGAGTAAATCTATAAAACACACATTAACTTTTTGAAGTCATCTGTTCAGTAATATTTTACTATGTATAGTTGCTAACTATATGTATTTATTATATATTTTTTTAAATTTAGTATTAAGTTTTTTTAAATTTAGTTTTAGATCTAATAATCAACAACAGAACACATGCCTTTGAACAAATTGAACACATGCCTTGAATTGTGTCTACTTACAATTTTTCAGATGACACTAATTTATTTATAACTATAAGTATTATCTGAAAAACTGAAAAAAAATAAAAACCATTAGTTCTGAATGGGATGAGAGATAAATCTTATTGTCAAAAAAACCTAATTAGTTATCTTTAAAAACCAAAAAGTTACTAAGTAAATAAACTTTTATACAAATAGAGAGGTATTAACTCTCAAAAAATCAATAAGATGATAATTATGTTGGATGAAAATCTTTCTTTCAAATCCCATCACTTTATATAAAAATATATTCCATATTTTTTATTAGTAACAGATTAAGATAGTTAATGATGAGCTGACTAGTTTTAAATAGTGATGTGCCGACTAGTTTTAAATAGTTATTGTAATTCGACTGTTTTCCCGGGATCAGCCATTTTTTAGCAGTCCGGCACCGGGTATCTTAAAAGAAATTTTTAATAAACATTTTTAATAAAAAAATTTTAATAAACATTTAATAAACATAAATAAAAAATTAAAAAACTTAAAAAATCTAACCCAAAAAACTTCTGGAATACTTTTAGAAGTATGAAAAAGGATTCAAATTCAAAACTTTTTACTATAAATAATAAAAAAGATAAAGAATCCATCACCGCAGAGTTTGCTACTATTTTTAAAAAACGGTTAAACACTGAGAGAATAACTGATGGAGGTTCAAATCTTCGAATTCTACCTTGCAAAAATCCTGATGAGATTTTAATTACTGATAAAAATATTAAAACAACTATTTCATGTCTAAAATTAAACAAGTGCAAGGATCATTACAATATCTCTGCAGTACATTTAAAACATGCCCAATGTGAAGCACTAACGTAATGGTTAAAAAAGTTATTTAACTTTTCAATTAATCACAGATGGACCCCTACATCAATGTCAACATCAACTATCATACCTCTAGTTAAATCCTATAAAAAATCACTTACCGATCCAAACAATTACCGCGGTATCAGCATTATTCTAATATTTACTAAACTCTTAGAATACTTTATCTTACTCATATGCCCGGAGATATAAGAAACTCATCAATTTCAATTTGGTTTTAATAATAAGAGCTCAATCCTCCATGCTGAGTTTTTTGTAACCCAAACAATTAAGCATTATAATCGCAACAACTCGCCTGTTTATTTATGTTCACTAGATGCTGAAAAGGCTTTTGATAGCTGCAACTGGAATGTTTTTTTTAATAAACTTTATTTTGATATAAATCTACCTCTCAAAATAGTTAACACTATGTCTTCTTTATACCGTAGCGGCGTGCAACTGCCTCATACCTAAGTTGCAAATCAGTCTCATTTGATCTTAAGCAAGGAGTGAGACAAGGATCGATTCTCTCACCCTACATATATAACATATACACTGAGAAGCTACTCAAAACAATAAAAAATGATGAAATTGTTGGTACTACTATATATGGAAACTTGATTTGTGTTGTAGCTTATGCTGATGACATCATTCTTCTCAGCTCTACTCTCATGGGCCTAAAAAAAATTATTTCAACGTGTAACATATGCAACAATTTAAACGGGATAAAACTTAATGCTGTCAAAACGGAATTTTTGCTCTCTGGAAAAATACAAATAATAAACTGCACAATATCTCTAGACAACCATCAAATTATACTTCGTGAGAAACTTAATCATCTCGGCGTTAATTGGGATACAAAAAAAATCAATTTTTGCTTCACTAAATAGAATGAATATTAATAGTAGGTTATCAAATTTTCGGGCAACAGTGCAAACTCTGATTCAATCTGGAATCCGGTTTGCACATCCAAGATCTATTATCCAATTGTATAAATCACTAGCAGTTCCGACGTTAATCCAAGGTCTAGAGCTCTGTGAAAATAAAGATTCAAAAATCAAAAGACTCGACACATTTGGAAGGAACGCAGTTAAATCAATTTTTAATGTCTCCAAGTATAGTAAAAACTATATACACTCTCTATTTAAAATTAAGGAGATGTCAAATTATATACACCAAATCAAAATAAATCTATTTATCCGCTTTTTAAACAATAAAGTAACCTTTGAAATCATTAACTCCCAACTTAACTACTGTTCAGCTAAATTTTCTTTTTTAGATGATATAAATGAATTATGTGATAATCATAAACTGAATATGAAAACCTTAATGCTGGTTAAAAAAAAAGTAAAACTTAAAGTCTTAGAGGATGTAATTCGCGGTTCAATGTTTGAATGTAAAAGAACAGCGAACAATTTTTAAAAAGACACTTGAAGAAAATATTCCTAAATAATACTTTTTTTAATCTCTTTTTCTTAGTTTGTGGATTTACCTTGTAAATATATTTTACCGAGGGTGATTAATAAAATATTAATAATATAATAATAATTTACCTTAAATGCTGTAATTATATGTTTAAGTGGTACTTTGAATTGTATTGAAATATTATTAACAGGATTGCTTTTAGTTTTAACTTAAACCAAACTTCTTGATATAAGTCTCAGAGTGTTATGGAGTCAATAACCACAAAGCTCTATTTACTCAATATAGACGTGCTCACCTAAAATATTTTATTTTCATTTTATTCACACTACAGTTGAGAAGGTCTACTCTTCTTTTTTTATCCGGCAATTCTCTGTCTGTAGAGTAATTTTAATTTTAAACCTCTCTTATTGATTTTGGCGTTAACAACGTAAGACGGCAAGTTAGGGATCGTCCGTAAAGTATGTGTGCACGGATGCGGGAAACTAAGTTTGCAAATGGCGTATATGAAATGGGGGGCAGGTGTCAATTATAAAAGTAAGGAAACACTAAATTAAAAAATATCATGAAATGTTGGGTAGGTTGGTTAAAAGCGTAGGTAGTTTTAGTGAGGTTGAGGGTTCTTGAATGAGCGTATATCAATATGAGGGGGAGAGGAAAGGTCGAAATATAAGCGTACATACTTTATGGACGACCCCCTTATTATCCAAATATTAACAATCTATTAATTATTATTTAATATTAACAAACTTGATATATTTAGGCAAGCTTAATTAGTGGAAATTAATCAGCGTTATTGATTGATCAAATAAATATTTTAACTTGTGTGCCAATATAGTTTCAGTTTGAAAAAAATGCAAAACTACTTGAAAAATAACTCCAATAACTTTTGGGAAATAGTAAAATGAAATAACAGGAAAAGTAAAACCATGCATAAATTGACTACCCTATTTGATTTAAGCTGACAATAAAAGCACCAAAGCCTTATTTAATAGATTTTCAGTACCAACTGATGGTATTATTATATTGTATTGGTATATTATACATTTGGTATTATCCTGCTCAAATTGAGGGGAGTGTAAACTTAATAAGGTCATAAAAATCAATCAACAAAAGATTATTGAATCAAATTTGAAATTCGTTGATGAATTTAAATTAAGTTTAAAAAAAAATTGGAAAAAAAAAACAAATTTGACTCATTGCCCTCCTATTTGGGGCTGGGGGAGGGGGGCTAACGTATTGGGATTTTTGCTGTTCATAGTCTCCGATCACAGCAATTTTTTGCATTTTTTAACATTTCAAGGTAATTTACAATAGTACAAGTACTAATATAAAGTGAGTACCTGAATATACAACATAACGTTATAGTCAATGATGAAAATAACAATAATAACTGATCTCAATAATACTAACTTTATTACTAATTATAGTAATAAGAACAATAATAACAACAACAATAATAATAATCATAACAATAATAATAATAGTAACGAAATGATAAAAACTATAATAAGAGGAGAATTTCATAAGTAAAGACAATAACAGTAGCAACAAAAATTCAGTAAATAATGACGGCAACAACAAAGATTTAGTACGAAGTAGAATAGTTGAGAAATAGAGAATAATTAAATGAAAATAGATAAATAGGTAGATAAATAATGAATGCCAAAATATTGGTACTAATATTAATGATATTTGAATAAATTATTTAATAAAAAGTTTAAAATGGCAGATAGAAAACCAGAGGAATTATATGTAGATCATCCAAGATTAAACATCCAAGATCATCCAAGATCCTTCCAAGATCATCCAAGATCCAGCCAAGACCATCCAAGATCCAGCCAAGACCATCCAAGATCATCCAAGATCATCCAAGGTCATCCAAGATTATCCAAGATCCATCCAAGATCATCCAAAATCATCCAAGATCATCCAAGATCATCCAAGATCCATCCAAGACCATCCAAGATCATCCAAGATCATCCAAGATAAAAGATGTATTATCATCCAAGATTAAACAGAAGCTGTATATAAAATATCTTAAAACAAAATCATCAGATAATGAGAAAATATATAAAAATTACAAATATCTCTTTGAAAAAGCTCGTAAAAACTTGAAAAAAAATTATTACACAAGACTCCTAGATAAATTCAAAAATAACACAAAACGCAATTGGCAATTAATGAAAAAAAT